TCATCCGTCCTCATCTGGTGAGATCGAAAAACGAATCTCTTCTTCATGTACTTTCATTCGAAATGAAGATGCCCCTAACAATGAAACCTCTTAGACACCTCTGAGGGAGGTAAAGGGGCCAGAAATCGAGTGCCTGATTGTTTCGACCACCTGAAACTAGCAGCATATCATGTGAACATTAAAGCGTCTGTCGCAACTTAGTCTTGTTGTCAGGGCGACTATGCTGAATGTACTTAGTCCGAAGTCGTCTGTTATATTAGTTGTCATGATTCCCAGCATCCTACTACTATAGCAGACGACTTCGGACTAGATGCATTCTACATAGTCCCCCTGGCAACAAGACCAAGTTACGACAACGAGGTCAACCCACTTCTATAAATCGAAAGGAGACTGCGACCATACCAGAGGTCACAACATCTTGGTCCTCATATCTACAATTAAAGCGTCTCTTCGCCAAAACTGTTCGTTGGCGCGTTTACGATAATAACCTGTTTTCTAGCTTCCCTAAGGTTGCTCGTAGAGCAGAAGTGGCTGAAATCGTAAAGATGACCGGACTATGCTAGAATTATAATCTCTGTGAGAGTGATTAGAGCGACTTCCCAATGAGCATATAATACCTACTCAGTCAGAATGCGTCAGTTAGTTGAATAAGTAACATGCAAATTCGGTTAGATATCTGATTAATGTTGGCGGTAATTGTGACAATTGAAAGTCCTCTTTGAGAATAATGTCATTTATAAAAAAAGCATTAACCTCGTTGACAGCCCGACATTAACCGCCCGTGCTAGGCCAGCAACCGGTCAAGTACAGAATACGAGTGCAAGGAAGATGTATACAGAGAGGTACAAAAGACATGTACAGGTGAAATGGACATGGAATGTGGAAAATCTGGCACCATCACACGATAAGCACACTCGAGGCGACCATGTCATGCAGAGATGTGCATTACTTGGGGATTGACGAAGATTAGTATAAAATAGCCCACAGGCAAATTGACTTGGGCTCGAACGAGTTTCGTGCTGTCGCCGATTCTGCAGTCACTGCCACGTGAGCCATTGTCGAACCAGCCAGGCCGATGACGAGTCGAGCTGCCAAATGATCTCTCGCGAGAGGTTGAATCCGCCTCTGCGTCTCCCGGTCAAGAGAGTCTGTCCTGCGATCAGTTCGCGTCAATTCGGTTGTCAGAATTGGTCAAATCCGGTTCAGATGAACTAGCATATTTTGTCATCATCGAAAGCGAACCAAAGACCAAAAAATATTGCCGGCACGAAGAAGAGAAAGGTGATCAGATAAAATATTCCGGCCAGATTGAACCAAGTGTGCGAAACCCTGAATGCCTTGGAACGATAGATCAAATTGGCCGAGTAGGGCGACCGGCCGAAACGGGACTCGATGCAGTCGAACAACTCCAATTGGCCGAAGACGAAGAGAGCGAGCGCAAAGAAGATGCCCATCTCGAGGGCGATCATGGAGAGGACGAAGAGGCGACGCAGTATGATGATGCTGGGCAGGAAGCTGACCATGAGGAGGAGAGAGGAGAGGTGCACAATCCTCGACAACTTGACCAGAATCGGCCCTCTCGGCGAGTACTTGTGGCAATATTGGATGAACATCTGCAGCATCTTCAGATCGCTGTCCTGGTATTTGTAGTTCGGCTCATTGGCATTCCACCAATCCCCGTAGAAACCGATGATGTGGCTGTAATGCCGCCTCTCCAGACTCGCCTCCGGCCACCATTGGTGCTGTTGACCGGTACCAGCCTCCAAAGTGCTGTTCTTCGCCAGCACGAAGTTTCGCCTACAGACGGTGTCCTCCAGGAGGGCCGTGAAGAGGCAGACCTTGATGCACCACTCGGCCAGAATGTAGACGATGAAGAGCGCCTGCTTTCGAGTCGACAAAGTTATCCACCAATCCGGCCAGATCAGATGCGGAGGCGATTTCTTGCCCATTTCGGCCGAGTCAAAGTTTCACTGTTGCACCGTTTGGCCAAGACGCCTCGCCTCCGACTGCCTCAGATGGCAGGAGCGCACAAACACCGCCGCTGCGTCCGATCGAGGAGAACGTTTGAACCGGAACCGGATCAATCCTCACCTTTGGCCCAGCCGAGACCGACAAACGGCCGACCCATGAGCCCGGCGGTCAAACGCACTACTCGGCATACTACTTACTTCGCATTTTCGAATTAAGTTTTGTTCTCGTGACTACCAGTAAATCAGTAATGTGAGATGTATTCGTTCAATTTTTGTTTAAGGTGGTGAAGGACTGGTTTGACTGCAGTCCACTCTTGATGAGAACAACTTTTGGGAAAGCAAAGCTATGTGAAATGCAATGGAAACGTCAGCTCAACTCATATGATTGTGGGAAAATTCTTCTTCTACCAGTCCTTTATCACCTTAGACGAAATAGGTTGAATACATCTCATGTTACTTACTTCGACTCACAAGCACGGCTACCATTCTTGGACTCACAGATCACGTTGAAGTTGACTGGCAACAGTCGAACGTCAAACAATCGGACTCTGACGTCATGACTTCGAGTTTGCGTCGGGTCACTTTTAGTGACTAACTGAAAGTGGAAATGCATACGTTTCCATTTCGGCAGATTTTTGCAACTTTTTGAAGAAGTCTTTCTCCGTTGGGAGCAGCCAATGCTTCAAACTTTTTCAACCCAATGCCACTTCTTGCCCAGTCCATCTGAATGGATGAAAAGTTTTTATGACGAATATGTGACTTGATTTTTCATTTCATCACAAAAGTCGGTTAGAAGATATTTATGAATTGGTCTTGGTCGACGTGACAGGACGTTACACAAGGGAAGGTGGCCGATTATATACATATACATTTCATACTCCTCATTTGACGAGTGAAGATCGTTCACGAAAGTGAAGCAAATGCGGTTGCAATTGGTTCCTTCAACACATAAACCAACGCAAGATCCTCTAGTATTAGCACATAATCATGTTTGTGGTATTGAAAATTGATTGTTTGCAAGGTTCAAGTCATGTGGGATGGGATACCCCCAAACAGAATCGAGTCTATTC